TGATGCAGAAAGCATCAAAAGAAGATGGAAGAAATACACAGAGTCACTCTACCAAAAGGAAATGGTGATGTTCAACCATTTCAAGAGGTAGCATATGATCAAGAGCCAATGATACTGAAGGTAGAAGTCCAAGGTGCATTGAAGGAATTGGGAAAGAACCAGGAACTGATGAAATAAAAATTGAAATCTTTCAAGAAAGTAAGGCAGCTCGGGAGGCACTCTCACTCATCTATACCAAGAAATTTGGAAGACAACTATCTGGCCGGCTGATTGGGAGAGATCTGTATTTGTGCCCATTCCAAAGAGAGGTGACCTAACGGAATGTGGAAATCTTCTGACAATCTCTTGGATATACCATGTGAGTAAAGTTTTACTAAAGGTAATACAGAAATGACTACAAGCATACATTGACAGAGAACTTCCAGAGATTCAAGCTGGATTCAGAAGAGGCCGTGGAACGAGGGAGATCATTGCTGATGGATCTTGGCTGAAAAAAGAGAACATCAGAAAGATGTTTACCTGTGCTTTATTGACTACGCAAAGGCTTTTGATTGTGTGGCTCATGACAAGTATGCAATAGCATTATGGAAAAGTAAGAAACATTATGAGAATTACCAAAATGTAACACAGAGACACGAAGTGAGCTCATGCTGTTGGCAAAATGATGCCAATAGACTTGCTCAATGTAAGGTTGCCACACACCTTCAATTGGCAAAAAATGCAGTATCTGCAAAGTATGATAAAGCAAAGCGCAAGAAAATGATGTCTACCCATACAGGGAACCCCTATACTGGGTTGCTATGAGTCGAAACTGACTCCATGGCATTAAACAACAACATAGAGAGAGAAAGAGAGAGAGAGAAAGAGAGTCCTGGTGTGCCGCTAATCAGTCCACAGGCTAATGCGTGGACTGCAAAGTTGGTTTCAGCAGCAAGGTCAATGGTTCAAGCTCACCAGCTGCTCCTCAAAAACCCTGTTCCCTATGAGTCAGTTCCCTATGAGTTGGAACTGACTCCATGGCACACCACCACCACCACCACCTGTAGGTACTTATCAGAACAATGTATATGCATCTACCTGTGTTTGCATCCACCCCTCTGTACACAGTGGTTGGGTGTCTCTCTGCCTTGGTTGTAGGCAGACCAGCTCAAGCCATTGCCTTGCTCCAGATATCCGTGGCCTGCCTGAAGAAGGGAACTTACATTTTTTTTATACTGTTGAGATGGCGCTATCATTAATTTTACTATAGTGGGAAGTGGAGTGTTATTGTTGAGTGCTATCGGGTTGGTTCCAACTGTGTATAGGGTTTCCGAGGAGCAGCTGGTGGGTTTGAACTGCTGACTTTGTGGTTCAAAGTCCAGTGCTGATCCCACAGTTCCGCACCAGGAGTCCGGGGAGTAGGGTGGGAGTCCATATTTAGAGTTTGAATTCCAGGTACATTTAAAGTTATCTGCTTTAGTTAGGGGAACACCCCTTCATTTGCTGAAACAGATATGTATGTAGCACCTACTGTGTGCCGGGACTATCCTAAGATGTTATTGGGGACACAGTGTGGATAAGACAGCTCATGTCCTGGGAACAGGGCTCTGAAGCCGCAGTCACCGTCATCCTGGGCCACAGAGGGGAGCAAGCAGGGCAGGCTCCCTGGAGGAGGTGGTATTTCCTGTCAGGGGCCCAGGCTCCACCCAGCCTTCAGCTGTTTCTCACCTCTCGCTCTCCCCTGTTCTTTCTCAGCTCCTGAGGTCCTCAACAACCAGAGGTACGGCCTGAGCCCGGACTACTGGGGTCTGGGCTGCCTCATCTATGAGATGATCGAGGGTCAGTCACCCTTCCGCGGCCGCAAGGAGAAGGTGAAGCGAGAGGAGGTGGACCGCCGGGTCCTGGAGACCGAGGAGGCTTACTCCCACAAGTTCTCAGAGGAAGCCAAGTCCATCTGTAAGATGGTGAGTCTGGAGGCCTGACCCAGGGGCTAGGTGTCCAGCCAAGAATCGGGGTCAGGGCATGCTTTGGGTAGATGCTGAGCCCCCAAGCCAGAGGGGCCTATGTTGGTGGCTGTGACAGGGTGGTTATCCAGGGCTTCCAGAAGAAAGCTGAGACAGGGCTGGGAAGCAGGGAGGGCCTGTGCACCAAGGGAAAAAGTTGGGGAGTCAGGGTAGGGAGAGAAGAGGCGATCCAAGCAGGTCCCCAAGATGCCAGTCCTTGACCTCTGGCCTCCGGTCCCTCCATCTCTAGATCCCAAAGCTCTGACTTGGGGTCTGGGGCTGCCAGTGGCAATCTCTGAACATCATACATCCACGTGTTCTGTAACATGAGTGCTGAATAGTGGCGTGACTGGGTCAGAAGGTTTGACCCGGCCAGGGGCAAGGACTACGGGCTTGGGACACCAGCGTCCAGGTAGTGACAGAACCATCTAGAATGTGGGAGCTGGGATGGGGATCACCCCTGGACCACAGCCATCACCCCACCCACGGGGGCTGACATTGTGGAAGAGGACCACTCCCCATTCCTGCCTGGTGCCCTGCACAGCTGTGCTGAGGCCCCTCACAGACAGCTGCTGCCCACCTTGGCCACAGACAGACAGGAAGGACCTTCGAGCCACAGGCTACACCTGGAGCAGCAGATGGGGAGTAGATGGGGGGCAGGCTGAACCTGGGGTGGGGCTCTCTTCCTCCCACTTGTCTCAATTCAACAAGAAGTAGCAAAGCTTCTGCTTCCAGAAAACCCCAGGATGCATTGCTAGGGCTCAGGGAGCATCTTGCTTAGCACACTGCATCCTGTGTGCTCCCTTCCACATGCCCCTTTCTTACAGCCAGGGCTCTGCCAGGCCACTTCCTTCCCAGCTTCAGTCTCACAAAGGACTTGGGGCCACATTCACCATCTGACCCCTCCCTACAGAAAAGGAAGCACAGATGTGACTTGGTGGGTGTGCGGAGGAGGGGTGCCTCACAACAGAACCCAAACTGTGGCCCAAGGGGAACCAGGCAGCAGAGGTCAGCTAAAGGAGAAGGTGGGGTCTGGAGGTTTGTGAAAAACAAAGGGGTGGGGGCCAGGACAGGGACAAAGAGAAGTAGGTCTGAGCGCACAGGGAAGCTGAGAGGGTGACCCCAACCCTATCCACTTGACTCCAGCTTTGGTACCAAGAACCCCTAGTACCGCCAGAACCCGGCGCTGCTGGCCCTCTGCCGCCCCCTGGTGGCCACTAGGGAAGGCTGCCCCAGGCACTCCTGGGCCCACGGTGCAAAGTCTCAAGCAAAAGTCCGAGTCACATTTCACCCATGGAAGTTGTTTGTGCCCAATTGCTGGAGGCCTCCAGCTCTGCTCTGCCTTCTGTCTTACAGTTGACCCTGGGGTCTTGGAATGCTGGTCTTGGGCCTCCTCTGTGCCCAGGCCTCCTGCCCCTCCCTTCTTCCAGTGGCAGCTCAGGACAGATGTCTTGTATAAAGGAGGCCCAGGGCCACGGGGCTGGTTCCCAGGCTCTAGGCTGATTTGGAGGGGGCAGCTCCACAAACAACAAACAAGCAAACCAGTCTCCTGCCCCCAGTCTTGCCCCTCCCTTCATCTTGGCAGCCGAAGACCCTCCTCTCTGCCCCTGGGGTTTGGAAAATCACACTCATCACTGCCCTGTCCCCTGGGGCCCATGCCTGAGCCCCGTGGTCACCTGGCTGTCCCACCCCCATCATCTGCTACCTCTGCCTCCATCCTCCTTCGTCCCATCCCTCCTGGGTACCAAGCCTCTTCCTCCCATTCACCTCCCTGCCTCTGGATTCTGATGCAGACAGTCCCTCCCTACCCGGACCACCACCAACCCACTGCTTTCTGACCAGGCCTTCGGGTTGCCCCATCTCTGTTCTACTGCCCCCTCCACACGGACGGACCCCTACACCCTCATCCTTCGGGGAAACTCAAACATGCAGGCCCTTTGCTGTGCTCCTGAGTCGGCTGGTTCCACCCACAACAGTCGCTCCGCCTCCCACTTCCGGGCGTCTGTCTTACAAGACTCAGATTCCCCTTCCAGTGACGCTGGGCAGCTTGAGTCCCTTTGGTCCCGTGGTGCCGAGTGGGTCGCTCTGATAAAATTAGGCCCCTGAATGACTCCAGCATCCAGGGGGGGGTGGGCAGCCCCCCATCTATCTGCACAGTGGTTTCTACCAGTAAATTTGTAGTTGGGTGCCATTAAAACTGCTTTTGTAGGACTGTCCCATAGGATTTCCTAGGCTGGAGCAGCTCGCCAAGGCTTGCTCACGCTCTGGGTGATTCGAACCCAGCACTTAACCTGTGTGCTCCCAGGCCTCCTTTACCAGTCAGTTCTGGTGTACAAGGGTCGTTGCCAATTGAGTGAGTGAGTAAGAGTTGGACCGCCCCAGCTCCAGCCTCCGTTGCTTCCCTGTAGCAGCGAACATTTTTCTGTCCACACATCCCATAAACAAGGATGGGTGCCCACTGTGATGTCCAGCCTGCTCCCGGGATGCTGGGAGACTTGAGCCAGGTCAGGCAGGGGTAGCTGGCCCAGGGGGAGCGGTGCAGACACTGCAGTGGGGGGTGGCTGGGAAGGCTTGGGGACAGAGACATGTGAAGGGGACATAGTCCCATGCATCTCAGACCACCCCAACCTGTAGCCTCCCGAGGAAGGAAAAGCCGACCGGCCTCTCGCCTCTCTCTGTCGTAGCTGCTTACCAAGGACGCAAAGCAGAGACTGGGCTGCCAGGAGGAAGGGGCTGCGGAGGTCAAGAGACACGCCTTCTTCAGGAACATGAATTTCAAGCGCTTAGAAGCCGGGATGTTGGACCCTCCCTTCGTTCCAGATGTGAGTAGCTTCTGCCAGCTCCATCACTGTCCTAAGCCATGCCAGGAGCTGGTTCTGTGGATGCAAAGTACCCCTGGCACCACCCCAGGATTGTCCCTCCATTCATCAATTAATACAAGGGGGTGTGGCATGGGGACCAACATGTCCTTGGGGCTCCCCACCTCCTGATGGTCCCTGCTGGGCATCCAAAGTGGCCCTCACATTAGACAGTGTGGGTCAGTGCGGGAGGGGTGGCTAGGGCTGCACACTGGTCACCTACAGACTTGGATGCCTGTCCAGCCTGGGGAACCTGGGTAAACCTTTCCCCTCTAGACCTTAGTTTCCTCTCCTGTGCAATGGGGCTGGTGACACTTGCTCTCCCCACCGTCCTGGAACCGTAAGGGTGAAATGAGAACTGATTGTCACATGGTATTCAGACTATTAGTCTAATCAGTGGACACTGAGCACCCGCTGTGTGTCCTGGGCTCTGGGCACAGCAGGGACAGTGAGGAACATAATGAGGCCCCAGCTCCCACCAGAGTCAGATCTACCCCCGGCCAGTGTCCCCAAGTCATCGTGGAAGGTGGAAGTCCAGTTAAGTCCCAGTTACCACTGACAATTCCCTAAGTGATCCTTAAAGTTCAGAGAAGCCAGACCAGGACGAACCATCTGCGAGAGTCCTTGTCAGGTTTTGTGCCCCCAGGACTGCACTGTGCAAATTCAAGTTGTCAGTCAGCTTGTGCCTTTGTTCCCACAGACAGAGAGTTCGGTCCACAACTAGGAGCAGGGGGCTGCACTGGGTTTGTGGTAGTCATGAGAGCAAACATGGTCTGGGAGAGTTTACACCGCAGCAATGGGCATACCCCTTCCTCAGAACCAGGAGCCATAGATAGATACTTGGACCTCGGGTGCCCCCTGTGGGTGAACTCCCTGGTCATCTGGGGCAGGACAGGACGTCTCGAACCCAGGTCTGACGGAGTGCTGAGCAGTGTCCATACAATCACACCACTGACTCCATCCAATCTGTCTGGTATCAGTATTGGTGAGGGGGCAGGAGGGACCACCAGAGAATGTTTTCTGGGGAAGAAAGGGGCTGGTGGAAATATGGAAAGTCTTGGCATGCTGTCAATTTAACCTAGATGTCAACTTCACATGGAATGTGGATCACAGCCTCTGTTCTCGGGAATTGTCTGGGGAGTGTTCAGAACTGCCAACGCCGGCCAGGCTCCAGAGATGCTAATGTAACTGGCGTGGGGCAGGCATGGGCATGGGGATTTTTAAAGGGCAGCAGGGCTGAGAACTGCTATCATAGGAAATGCCACCAGCTAGGAGTTGGTTTTGTTTGTTTCTGTAGGAGGGCTATGGGAATGACCATTAGGCAGCATCCCAGGAAACCTTACAGAGTGACCTCATGAGGTGGTTTCGATGCCTTCCTGGTGTAACTGGGCCAATGCCCTGGAACATTGGTGAGGTGGGCACCCAAGCTGAGGCTGGGACGACATTCTTGAACCCAGTCTGCCATCCCCTGGCTGCCTCTTGCTCTGGTGGTAACAGGATCAGATGAGTCACACAGGAAGTATCTCTTCACCTCCCAGCATGCTTCAGGCCCTGTGCCGGACACTAGGGGACCCCATGGTGAACAAAACATACGGTTGTTTCCTTCATGAAATTTACAGTCTGAGCAGGAGAGATGTAGCAAATGGGAGGCCCTGGGGGGGATGGGGGGGGAGACTGGAGGTGTCAGCGGAGGCACCATGAGGAGATGGCCAGGGACAGAGCTGGGGAGCAACGTGTGAAGGGGAACAGACCATGCTAATAAACAAGGTGGCCAACTGGCCTGGCCTGTCTTAGACTCAAACCTGGACAGCCAGCCACCTCAGGGGTCGCCCTGCACACCCCCAGGGTGTCGGGAGGAAGAGAACCTCTCAGTATCGGGTTCAGTGTGATAAGACTCCAAACTCCTTTTCCCAGCTCCAGAGCGCCCCCCGTGGCCCCTGGACCCTTCTTCCAGCTCTTGTGAGCTGGAGGGTTTGCCCCACCACAACCCACCCTGTTATCCCACCGGTACCCCTTTCATTCCACTGCCTCCCCAGGTGTCCCCCAGGAGCCGGGCCAGAGCTGTTCCCACACCACCTGAGGATTGTTACCATGTTCCTCAGCCACAAATTCTGTTTACTATTCATATTTCTCATTCCCGTGGACACTTTTAAACCAAAATAAGTGTAGGCCACAAGAAAACTTAACCACCAGTAGCCATGAAATGGTGAATTTTGGAGTGTTAGACAAAATCTTAACCATTATGGATTTTAAAAATACATAATTACTTGGCTTTAAAAAAAAAAAAAAGAATACGCCTCTACGTGTGTGGCTGTGTGGTATGTGCGGTCACATGGGCCCTGCTCAGCAGCTCCCCACTCTGTGATTCGATGCTGTAGAGGCTTGAAATCGGATACCTTGTGGGTCAGGGGCCCCAGCATTTGCATTTTCTACTGATGGCACCTAAAAGTCAACCCTTTTCCTGCTTGGCTGGTCACAGTTGGAGCCACTGTGCATGGGGTCTTGGGCCCCAGAAGGCAGAACTGGAGAGCGCCCCCAATCCCAAGCATTCAGCCAAGAGCAGAGCTGGAATCTTCCACAGCCTGATATCCTGGGCTCCTATTGTCACGTTCTGACCTTCAACGTGCTGGGCCCTGGACCAATGACTGGGGAACAGTGAACGAGGTGGTCTCCACCCTGGATCATCTCCTCTGTGGAGGCCCCATTATTAGACCCCTGGCTCCCTCAACCCCTAGGATCATGAACCCCCAGAGGGCAAGGCCTGGTTGATTCATTTCTGTGAGCCCCGGCAGACAGCAGGTTCTGTGCATGCTGGGATGGACACATGAGGTCAAGGATACTGTCCTAATGATAGCTGCTCCTGGCTGTAGCGCCCAGCCATGAAAGACAGGTTGCTTTTATTATCCCCATTCTGCACGTGAGGAAACTGTGTGACTATCCCCAAATTCCTAAACCCCAGAGCAGGGTTCCAGACCAGGTGTGTGGTTGTCCCAAGAGGGGCCTGAGTACCTCCTGGGGTGTCCATCATTGACCCCACTTGCCCACAAGAACAGCCCCCGCTCCTGAACAGGAAGACAGAACACCCTTTTTAAGCTCATATTTCTTGGTACCTCCGGGGGCCCCCACTCCCATCAGATATTGTTCCCCTAAAGGCCATCTGAGGAGCTGTACTGACACAGTAGTTAAGCGCTCCCCTGACAGAATGACTGGCAGTTTGAACCCACCACCCAGCAGTTCATGGGAGAAAGATCTGACCATCCGCTCCCATAAGGAAGACAGCCTAGGCATTGGGTCACACCACAACATCAAAGCCCATCACATCAGGAAGGGGCAATGTTTCCAAAATCATTCCATGGACTGGCCACTGTGTGGGGCCTCTGAGAGAGGACAGGCAGGGCCTTCAAGACCAGACCACGACTACTAGGTGGCAGAAAAGAACCAGCATTGGGCAGGGAGTCCAGACACCTAGGGTTCTTGTTGCCTCTCAGTTGGGGGTGCCTTTGGTGACCTGCAAGAGGCAGCTCAGGTTCTCAGGAGGAGAGCACCTCGAGCCAACAGTGTCCCCTCTGCTCCATCGTCTGGGAGGCCTGGCCTGGGACACCTGTGTGACCCAACCCTCCGCCTGTGTCCCAACCACAGCCCCGCGCCGTGTACTGTAAGGACGTGCTAGACATCGAGCAGTTCTCCACTGTGAAGGGCGTCAATCTGGACCACACAGACGACGACTTCTACTCCAAGTTCTCCACGGGCTCCGTGTCCATCCCGTGGCAAAACGAGGTGGGCCGGACAGTCAGCTCAGGGACTACAAGGTGGTGGTGGGTGGGCAAGGCCGGGACGGCCTGTGGTGTGGGGTCAGAGCTGGAGGGGGTTGAGCGGGAGTGGGAGGGAGATGTGATCCCTGTAGATGACTGGAATCTGTGTGTATGGGGTCCCATGAGATGGGCAGTTGGAGCTCATTTGGGATGGAATTGGCTGTAACCTGAGGTCCTGACGAGGGGGAGGGAAGGAGGATAGAGAGGGGTGGGTTAGGGGGTTGTGTGGACCAGGTGGGCTGTAGGTTAGGACAGGTGTGTGAATTAAGGAAGTGTGAAGTAGGTGGGGTATAGATCAGGTGGGAAGTGGTCTAGGTGGGCTGTGGGCTACGGAGTATGGATTGGGGGAGGTGGGTTAAGGAGTGTGTGGATCAGGTGTGGGTCAGGTGGTGGCAGGAAGGTGATCTCAGCACAGAAGGGTTTCTGTTTTCTCTTCAAGTGAGAGGCCGTGGGCTAGAGGAGGCACAAGTCCCCAAGGTAGCCCAGGTCTTGTTGTTGTGAAGTGCCATCAAGTCAGTACCAATTCATAGTGGCCCTGTATAGGGTTTCTAGGAGCAGCTGGTGAGCTTGAACCACCAACCTTATGGTTCAAACCAACTTTCAGTCCAGCGCATTAACCCTATAAAATGGAGGCTCAGGTGAGGGTGTCAGCTGAGGCCTCTGTATTTGGACTCTGCTTCTTCAGATGATAGAGACCGAATGTTTCAAGGAGCTGAATGTGTTTGGACCTAACGGTACCCTCTCACCAGACCTGAACAGAAGCCACCCTCCAGAGCCCCCAAAGAAAGGGTTACTCCAGAGGATCTTCAAGCGCCAGGTGAGACCCCCGGCCCAGGCATTTCCACCTAAAGCAGGAAAAACCTGTGGTGGTGACCAGAACCGCTGGGTTTGACACATTTGTGGGCTTGGAGTGCAGACTGGGGCAGCCCCCAAACCTGCCACCAAAGGCTCAAGCCAGCACCTCCTCAAATGCCCTTTGGCCGAAATACAGTTGACAAGCTTGCCAGCAGAGAGGGTGGAGGGCTACCCAATGGAAACAAACTAATTCTATTTCTCCCTCTAAAATAGTGGGGGTAAAGTGTACCCCCATCAGAGCTTCTCACCCTCAGCACTGCTGACATTTTGGGCCAGTTAATGCCTTGTGTGGCGGAGGGACTCTAACTGGCATTGTGGGTGTTAAGCAGCATCCCTGGCCCTACCCACTCGATGCCAGTGGCATCTCCAGCCCCCACCCCATGTTTGTGACCATCGAGAATGCCCTCAAATATTGCCAAATATCTCCCCAAATCACCCCAAGTTGTAAAGCTTTGCAGGAGCAATGGGAAAGTAATCCCCACAGAACCTCATGGCCCGTGGGGCAGGGTTCCCATTAATTTGGCACGTGGCCTCCAGCTGACAGCCAAAGGAGACTTTGTTCATTGGGTAAAGATGTTTGTCCCTAGGCTAAGGGCCCATGGGGTCAAGGGGTGCCTCAAGTCAAGGGGTAAGAGACTACTGCCCCCCAAAAGCATACTCAAGGTCACCACACAGCAACCCCTCTGGGCCTGGCCCTTCAGAAACACTGGCTCTCAGTGGTCGGACCCAACATCTGGGGGTTGCTTGCCTCAAATTCTCCTCCCCCACTAGACCTGCCCTGGACTCTCACCCCCCAGCAAACTGCCTGAGGGAGTTAGGTCCAGACCCCTACACTCCATAGGTTTCTCAGTCGCTGTGAGTTTTCAGGACTGGATCACCAGGCCTTTTTTCCAAGTTACCTCTGGGTGTATTTGAACCATCAACCTTTAGTTAATAGCTGAATGCTTCACTGTTTGCACCACCAGGAGTTACCAGACATGAAAACCAGGGGTCACTCAGCTAGAAATTTGGGTGTGGGATTCAACCTAGACATTCAATCTCTGGGCCTGAAGGTGTAGTCCATATAGATGTGACAGGGGGCTGCCTCCATCCAGCCTTGGGGTCCTAATATTTCAGCCACCCTATACTTGCAGATCAAGCTCTCTGCCCCAGGCCCCGTTTTCTAAGCCCCCTCAGAGGTGTGGCCCCCCCAAGAACTGACTCTCCTTCTCTCTCCCCAGCATCAGAACAACTCCAAAAGTGCGCCCAGTTCCAAGGCCAGTTTGAACCATCACATAAATTCAAACCATGTCAGTTCCAACTCCACTGGAAGCAGCTAGTTTCAGCTCTGGCTTTGACGTTCACAGTGGAGCCAGCAGAACGTTCCACTCAGATGCGGAGCTGGTGAGCAGTGGCGCTTACGCTCTGGCCAGGTGGTTGGGGAGCCCCGGTCAGCAGCTGGGGAAGGAGGCGGTCACCCCCTCGAAGTAGAGGCTCGAGGTTTCTCAAAGAAATTCCCACTCAGGTCTGTCTTCAGAGGTGGCCCTCAAGCCAGTGTGGATTGGATGTCGTTGTCGAACATTGCAATAGAAATCCAATTGGCTATGACAACTTGCACGCATTTTAATAGTGTCATAACTAGAACTGAATTTTGTCTTTATTATTTTTAAAGAAAAGTTTTGTAAATTTCTCTATTGTCTCAGTTTACATTTTGTATATTTGTATTTAAATGAAAGTCAGACTTTGAGGGTGTATATTTTCTGTGCAGCCACTGTTAAGCCATGTGTTTTAAGACATTATAGGGTGAGGGTGGGGGGAATTTACAAAACAAAACAAAAATGGCGTCTTGACTTCCAGAGCCTCAAATGGGAAACCGTTTTTATTAAATGTAGAAAATGATTCACATTTTACCTTTAAAGGATTGGTTGTATTTCCCTACATCCATTTCTAGAACCTTTAATGCCACCCTTCTGTTTACTTTGTAACAGATGTTCAAAGACATACCTGGGGCTGCACCCCAGCTAGACGCCCTCTGCCAGGTCTGGGGGCCACCTGGGGTTGCTTGAGTGGCCGTACCAAGTCCTCGTGGCCTCGGCCTCAGCCTCCCCTTGCTCTTGGGAGGTATCATGGTGCAGAGCTGGGTACCATCATCAGCCCACTGGTCTCTGGGCCTTTTTCCTTCAGAGCACGTCCTTTGAACTTTTAAAGCCAGTATGTTTCTAAGAGGCTTGTGTTTGGGATTGTTTTTATTTTGGGTTTTATTTTTAAGGGGAGCACAAGGATAGTAAGAGTTAGTCATGGAAACCCAAGTGTCCCAAACCCTTACAGCCCATGGAAAGATCAGGAAACAAGAGTCATCCTGAACAACTCCCTTGTTGCCCATCCACGGGTTCTTCCTGAAGTCAGGGGGTTTCAGAAGAAATATGGGAGGTGTATTCGGGATCCTGACAAGCTCCTTGGGGCCCACAGCCCCACAGATGAGCTGGCCAAGGTGGCATGGATGGGGTGCCTCTCCAGGCAAAGGGACACCCAATGAGAGGTCTTCAAGACAGGCTCACACCACTGGGGGAGGTGGGCAGAGGCGAGCTGGGGGCGGTGGGCAGCTCAGCATCTCTGGCATAATCAGTCCTCCAGGGGGTTTGCCTCTGGAGTGGTCTTTGAACCCTCAGAGCATGGACGCCCCACCCCAGGGACTGGCTGACCTTCCCCTGCTAACAGGGTGAGTGGGTAACATCCCTGCTTCCCTGCCCACTGAGTCCCTGATGTCTGGTTTGGCCTCAGACCTGGTCTCTGGTACCCAGCAGCTACCAGAGTTTCTCACGACCTGCATCAGCACCTCCTGTTAAAACGCAGATTCCCAGGTTCCCTCCCAAGTCCACTGAGTGAGTATCTCAGGAGCAGGGCCCAGGAACATGCATATTTTGATCGCTGACCAAGTCCTTCTGATGCAGATACCCCCCAGTGTGAGAACCATTCATTACCAGGGCTGGCCCTGCACACACATCTCTGGGTGACCCTGGCAGCTTTGAAGTGTGAACTTTGTGAGGGAGTTCAGAGTAAGCGGCATGCCAGCCTCTTGGCCCGATTTCCATGCTCGTGCCCTGAACTTTCACTAACGGAACCTCTGCCCCTGCTGCTAGGGGGGCCATGCAGTTGGGCTCCTTGAAGATCCCTTTAGTCCGTAGCATTATTTTCTTCAAGGCCGGTTCTTGGTCTGCGGAGCGGCTTCCCTAACATTTTTGGGACTGAAGACAAGAGAAATGCTAACAGTCATACAGTTTTGCCAAGGGTGTAGCGTTCTCTTTGGGCTGAATTCTAAGACTTTTAAGCTTTTGCTGACCTGCCTTTCAGGATGGGTCATACCCTGCGACTATTAGCAGCCCAAGTCGCCACCCACCTTCCTGCCAAGAAGGTTGGTCTTTTCTGCCCAATTAGCAGCCACTCAACCTTTACGGATGTTAAGCAGAGCGCCCCGTAGGAGCCAGAAAAAGAACCGAAGACTCATGACTGCATTTCTAAGTCACGAGGGCTCAACCGGCAGCAAGTGCAGGTCTCAGCATGACTGAGTGTCCCCAGAGAGTCACTTGGCTTTCTCAACCCTCCTCCTATTCCTTAGGCTCCTCATCTAGAGTGGGACTGGAAAATCAACCCTTCCCTGACGTCATCACAAGTCCCGCCCCTTCCCACCCTGAACTCACCTCCGCTTAGTTTTCTACAGCTGCTTTTTAAAAATGATGTTTGTAAATTAAAAAACAAAACAACTTCCCCACACATTTACTTTTCTGGGAGAAGGCAAATTTGGACGATGAATGGATTTAACTCTGTTCTTAATGCATTTGAGCTCTTCCCAGAGAATCTTCTTCTCCAAGTGTGACATCTTCCTCACCGGACGTTAGCTGACCTAGTGCCTTTGAGGTGAGACGCACGGTCTTGCAGAAGCGTCTCTGCTTCCACTTTCAGGAGACAAGTTCTGTCCCTGGTGGGACAGGGATGGTCTCCACTGCCATCACATGACCTAAGACCCCCACCCTCGCAGAGGGACTAAGAATCCCCATCCACGGAGGACGACATCCACATCAGACACATAAACTCATCTAAATCCTTCTTGGCCGGGAACTTCACTTTTGAAACCCTAAGAGTACCAGGGCTGTTCACTTGCATGGTGGCTGAGATGGTGAAATCTTTAGCCGCTACGGAAGGGTTTGCTTGTTTTCTGAAATGCATTGCTCTCAGCGAATGGGAACGACAGCCTTGGAGGAGCAGCTGCAGTGGAGGTAGGCCACGTGGAAGAAAGCAATTGTGGTCCTTGGTGTGTGTACACTTAGCAGTGTGGACACTGCATGCGGACACCATCTTTAAAGGAACAGCTGGACTGTCTGCCCGCAAGCCTGGGCCAGCTTCGGCTGACCCTGAGGGCCAACCCTCCAGAGAAGCCTGGAGGTCCACACCTTGTCGGACAGCTCTCCACAGAGCCTGGTACCAGCATTAAAGCTCCCCCCTTTTTCTTCCACACTCTTGTTCCTCCCTGAAAGCAGGGTCATCAGCTCTGGCGTCCCAGCACCTTTCTCACATGAGCTATTGACCCAGATCACAGATTGATTCTCCGACAGAAGGGCGGCTTCAGGGAACTTTTTGGGAGCCCCACAGCCTGCTTGAACCTAGCACTCCAGAACTTGCCAACGCAACACAACTTCCTAGACAACCGGAAGTCTGCCAAGATGAAGAGGAATGCCATCTGAGCGACCTTCAGCTCTCTTCTTGGGTTATTTGTGTGCTTGCGTATCTAGAGGAACACTTGTACCTTTCCCAGGGTAATCTCTCTGGGTTGGCTTCCTCTTTCATAACCTGAACTCTCTGAGATACGACAACCTTCTTTGTTCTGGAACGAGAGATGGTGTGAAGTCTTTGTGTATTTCAAAGTGACATACAGAAAGGGTTGGCTTACTTCAGACGACAACAGACCACCAGGATGAAGCCTCACCTTGTTCTACCAACCCACCCACCCAGCTTTTGAAGCTCAGATGGGTAGCAGATCAGACAGCTGCACAGGTGTGGGGGAGTCTACTTAGTCTAACTTCAAAGGCTGTACTGGGAACAGTGTTTTAAAGCATTTGAAAAGCCAGCTCTCCTTCGGAAGGGAAGACATTTTCCTAAAGAAAAATCTAGAGATCTTTCCTGAGTCCGTCGATAGGACATTTTGTACTAGATCAAAAGCAAACGTTCTCAGTTAGGAGAGTTTAGTGGCTATTGGTATTGCAAAAATCATCGTCATCCTAGTATCCAAAGGTTTCTTTTTGATTTCAGGGAGATTTTAACCTTGGTGAATGAAAGTAGGTCCACTTTGGAGGTCATTTCTGAAGATAATGGCTTGTATTCTGCTGCTCTGAATCCACGTTTGTTCCGTCTAATATGTCACAGTGCTGCTGTATCTAGATCAAACCACTGTTGTTGTTGGTTTTTTGTTTTTTGTTTTTTTGTTTTTTAAAGAAATAAACTCCTTACTGAGAATCACATTGCTTTCCTTCCTTCTGCTGTTCTCTTGTGGCTCCACCTGTCTTTGACACCTAGGACAGTCACCCCAAGATGCCCACAGAAACAGCCCTGTTAGCCAAACTTCGATGGTTCAGCCATCAAATCTGGCCCCCACAGGACACTGTTCCTCTTCTCAGCTACCCACAGATGGCCCCAGCTGAACTCAACAGAGGGTTCCAGAAGGGCCTCAGTTCCAGGTGACCTCAGCCATCACTAAGCTAGCAATGTGAAGCTGCTATAGGGCCTCAGAATCAAGAGTCTCAGCCTAGGAACCAAGGCCTCTCCGTCCCGCTTGCTTGACTTAGGTGTCAAATGAGCAAGGCTTTAGACTCAGACCACCCCCAGGGATTTGCTCAGTGGGGCACTTCAATGGCCTCCAGCTCATTTAATTTCCAGAAAGCCTCAAAGTGGGTCTTCCCAGGCACCACGGAGCTCTGGGCCGCTGTCTCTCTTCGTGGTCCTTAGCAGGGCAGAGTCTTCCTCACATCCCTGTAGGTCATGAAGTGAGGGAAGGAAGAACTGGGCCCTTGAAAACAAGCACAGGATCACAGCAAGTCAGGGCTCGGGACACCATTCTGCCCAGTGGCTCCTCTAGCTCAATGCTGGAGCTGCCACATGGCCACAGGCCTGGCTCTGCTGCCTCTGCACGAGGTCTGAGCGAGTCCTTGTTTCCCACTCTCACTCCACAAGGAAGTCTGAAGCATTGACGATACCCCTGGACGCTGGACTGCTAACTGCAATGCTGGTAGATCAAACCCACCAGACGCTGTTCTGTAGAGCAATGAGGTCACATCTGCTCCCACTGACGGTCTCTGAAACCTTATACAGGTCGCTATGAGTCGGAATCGACTCCATGGTAATGTGTTTGGGTATTGTATTTTTGTTTTTTTTTACTATGCCCATGGTGCTGTCTTCAAAGCCAAAGCAGAGACAGTCCCATCCTCGAAGACTCTGCATTTTAGTGGACATCAGTGCCCCTGGAAGGTAAACCAGAAGGCAAGGAAATTTGAAGCTTGGGCTTATCCAGTGACATCATCAAGTGTAGAGTCTGACTCAGTAGGTCTGAGGCAGGGGAGGGTGTACACTTTTCACAAGATCCCAGGTGAGGGTGCTAGTTCACAGACCACACTTTGAGCAGCCGGCTTTGGAGAATCTAAGCTGATGGCAGAAAAAGGTATTAGAGATGTCTTTAGTCAAACAGGACCTGCATTCTCATTGTTTCAGCTGCATTGTGCGGTACAGAGGGTTTGCTAAGATCCTCATAGTCATCTTGCTCTTGAGAGTTTGCAACAGTCTGGCCCTAAGGAGCTGCATTAACATCCCTGGGAACTTGTTAGAGATGCAGATTCTTGGGTCCCATCACGGACCTACTGAGT